CTACTTTTTAACCGACTTCAAAAAAGGAGGAGGTTTCTCAATCAATATTTTTTTATGTGTGAACGTGGATAACTTCGTCGCTTATGAACCGATTTTGATGATTCTTTTTTTGTTGGAAAGGAGATATCCCAAGGGTGGTACAATGATAAAGAAACCTGGATCGGATGATGGCATCCCAGGGAAATCGAGGGCCGTCATTGAATGTTATAGGTATTAATAATGTTTTTAATTTTCTAATTGAATTCGGTTTTTTTTTTTGGTTAAAAATTATACTTGTCTACCCAAATAGTCGCTGCTAATGGCAAGTTTTTTCCGCTTATAGGTTAAGTATTAACAATTTATGACATATTAAAAGCATGAGGTCCAATAAAATAGTATAATGAAGCAAATCTTTACTTTATATCATTATAAATGATACTTAAAAGGCTTCAAATCAAGATTACGCATTATAACAAAGCTTATTAAATAGTTTTCGTTCCTTTTTAATCGTTTTTACGATGGGATTTTATTATATTACAAGTTTTAATAAAACTTATTACTTTAATAAGTTGTGGCGTTAACTTTTACGACGGATTATTTCAAGTCTTCTTCGTTTCTTGCGGCAAAAATAATATAATTATGTGGACAATGGAATGTTATTTTTTTAATGATATTTGGCTGCCAATTGTCTTGTTGTTTGTGCTGCTTTTAAAGGGTCCACATATTTTCGATATTGATTCGTTGTAAAATAAAACAAAAATGTCAGTTTATTCAACTATAATAATATTGAAACATGTCAATACATCATGGGTCATTAAAAGTTAAATTTAAACACCAAAACTAAACTATATAGGATGCATTAGAAAAGTTCAGTTCCTTAATCTACAAGTGTTTAACATTACAGAAGGTTCCATTATAAAATTATATAATGTATGCATTATAAAGCATACTATATGCATAGTAAAGTACACCAAATGCACAGAACATCACCCAGAATAGTTTAAATTTTCACACTATTATTCACAAAAAAGAAAATTGCGTGTAAACATAAATCTTGACCAGTTTTAGTTTTCCTTATTTAAATATTAGTGTGTAATATTTAAACATTAGATAGAAATAAATATAGATATAGACGAAAATTCCATCAAAGTAATTAATCATTAAATACCTTCGTTAAAAAAAAATTAACATCCGCTTGAAATCTTGTTTTGGATAAAAGCTCAGAGTTATTTTTTATTATTATTTTAAAAGTCATAACTTGAAAATCTTCCAATAAGACTGTAGTATCATTAAAAATAATTATTTTCTTTTTAGCTTCATAGGTATTTAATGATCAATTAGTTGAAATTCTCTATAACCAATGTTCGTGATCACGACCTTGAGTGAGGCCAGTTGCATTTTTCAGTCATTTTTTTGCTTTGTAAAATAATATTAAATAGAGTTCTTTATAAACTAAGTGACTCAGACAGTCCTTACACGAATTTATTACAAAATATTTTCTAACAGACATATTTGTAGGCCACAAGACAAAATAGTATACTTGATTTCTTACATTTTTTCAGATATTCTTTTTAAATATTACAATTAAGAAAAAACGGAAAATATTCTAACTAGAGATATATCTACAAACTTTAAAGCTCAATTTCCCTTCAATGGAGTTAGGGGTAAGTAGAAACACCTTATTTATAAAAAGCTTGGTGAAAAGATAAAAAAGAAGAAAATAAAAAAAGCTGTTAAGGATTAAATCAATTTCGATGTTTAGGTTAGCAAGCCCAATGCTAGGAATATACTGGAATCTAGGGAACATATTACTATGTATGACGATTTTATTCCAATTATTAATTTTTGCTTTAACATTTATTTTGTCGACACTATTAAACTTCTACGATAACGGTACGTTAATGAAGTTTTACATTTAGGGACCGTAGGACTAATCAATCAGTTCTTGTGTTTACTACTTAATGAACATCAACACTCAACACTCTATATAGAAAACATATGTGATGTGTGGAACTTAGACTTGCTTACCTAACAGCTTTAAATTTCTCTGAAAAATTCATTTAACAATTTAATCTAGATATTAAAACGAATGATTAAAAGAAATGGATCTACATATAACATTCATTTCCAAAATCGAAGGTTATAATTAGAGAAAAGTTCGCTTTAAGGAACTGCTTAAAATGTAAAATAAGGCTAACAAGAAATAATTGAAAAAAAAAAAAAAAAAAAAAAAACATAATGTGACAGACTCAGTGGTAGTCAGCCTGGTAGTAATGTAAAAAAGATCTTAGCTTGCATGAACATGAGACAAAAGTAACTGTCGCTGAGAAAAGCTAGTCACCGTTACTAACAAAATCATTTCGCGACTGCATAGTACCACCACAAGCTTGTAATGAATTAATTAAGTAATTATAGCCCGATTTATGTATGCTAAATTGATAATTTACATCTGTCTGCCTCGTGATCATAAATGCTATGATTGCTTAATGCACGATTTAATATATTAAACTTCAAATAATAGGTTTCAGGGTATTAAGTCCAATTATTCGAATTCTGTTTCGGCTGGTAGAATTAAAGAATTTTGGATCAAACATTATTTGCATTAATTACTTAAAACGAAAAAAGTTATAGATTTATTAATAGTACGTTTTTACTAACATCATATGTGTTAAAGTCATTTTGATGTAAAGTGACCTACGAGATATATTATGCATACCTTGCACGTTCAAGGAAAAATAGTTATTAGGTTATCCTAATAACTATTGTTCCTTGTATTATTCCTTTGGAATATATATTTATATATATTCCAAAATATTGCTTTGCTTTCGGAACTAAACGAAACCTTTTACCATCACGAGTTTGATAATGAAATGAAACTAATAACGAAAATACGCCAACGTAATTAATAACCTCAAAACATTTTATATTTAATTAAATCTCATCAAAACACAACAGCGTAGGAGAATCTGCTGCCTGAAAATCTTAGAAAATATTAATTGTTTGGATCACGAGAGTTAAAGAGAGTTAAGAAGAAAGGTAAAATTATTTTGCCTTCTTCATTATGATACCAATTTATATATATACAGTTAGGAATATGAGTGATGAATTTCGCCCGTGTCAGGAAATCATCGGTTATCGAAAACGCCAGCACGTTTTAGATATCGCAGTTTCTTATTATAAGACATACATCAATGTGCCCAAGTTTTACAAACGTATTAAATCTGTCTCAATTTATGCTTACAAATTACATTTCAAGCAATTTAGAGTTTTTGAAAATAAAGTGTGGCAAAGTTAATAATATATAAATGAATTTGAAAACATACAATGAAGAAACGCGGCTTCAATTAATTAAAGAATAAATTAATTTAAAAACTTAAATTTAAAGTAATAATTTAAGTTACTTACACTCTCGTGTACCAAACAATTATCTTATATTATATGTCTTATAAAGATTCCATTTAGAAAAATATACTGTAATTCATCATAATACGTAGAAAGTTTTCATTAAGTACATTATATATACAAGTAGACAGTTGTATAATTTATTTCATAGTATCGTTAATACTGACATTCATAAGCTACAAACTACTTAACTAAATCCACGTAGTTCATAAATCTGACAGACTTTACTTATCGGGTAGTACATATTTGTTACCCTTAAAGATAAAATAAGTTAATTCACAAAGAAGGTTTCTGTTTTTAAAGAAAGTTTTATTAGCAGAAGCCAATCTCATTCAGACTTTCTCCAATATACTCAAATTAAACTTCTCTAATATCCAACATGGTCATTACTTTACGTAAACTTCTAACTCTTTCTTTCACACGACCTTTCCCAAGAGGTTACGGTCCATTCGGGGTTTTGTTGTTAAAGCTACTTCGAATATATATTGTACATCCATACTAGATATTATAAAAAAATGTTTACAAATGTTTACAGTTTAGTGTATTTTTTTATAATATCCTAAAGTAACGTCAATATATACTTTGTATGAATTTATAAGTAACAACGACGTATTTTTGAAAATAAACAAAACTGTCTTAATTAAGAAATCTAGAACTTTGTCACTCGCTCATATGTTAAGAATTGTCTTGAATAAAGGTTATTCATAATGTGTACTTTGAAAACAACAATAAGATTTTCATGTTTATTGTTAATCAGCCGTAAAAATGTATAATCAGTTTAGTTTCCGATAAAATTTCTCAAGGATTTTGGCAAAGATTTTTATTACAAATGCGTTCGTGTTTTAACTCAAGACAGATAGCTTCTGCGATTTGTCAGATGTCAAAGTAAAGTTCTCATGTAGCATCCTTTCAGATAAGTTCTACAATAACATAGAATTAGAAATGATGGTTATAGAAATTATGTTTTTCATAGATGAGTTCTGTAAGTACTAATTATTATTATTATTATTATGTTAATATAACAATTATCTATTACCGATAAAACATCAAATTCGATCGAAGGTACAGAAGTTTGATTACATCAACAGAGAGATGGAAGAACTTACACAACCAGAATATAAAGTAACAGGGTTGATACTACGTTTTTTTCTACTATAACAATTGTCTAAGATTTACATACACAAAACATTTTTCTATCACAAGACAGCGCCATGACTAGAAATATTAAATCATATCATAAATATTTAATTCATTCAGAAATTAAATCTGTAGAAGATTATTACCGTCTTATAGTTAAAAGTGAAAGGCGTAATACCTCCTAAAATAAGATAAAAAATTTTGAAACTGCTCATTAAAAGATCGCCACACAAACTCAGGCATTTAAAAACTAACAAGTGAAAAAGTAACTGGCATTAGAATTCTTTTGAATAAGATTGTTATTAAAAGTTTATAAATATAACAAAACGTGAAAACATAGATGAATTTTACCAAACAATGAAAAAAAAAACTACAATGTCTTTTGGGCGAAATTTGTAACAGTTATTTAAAAAATAATTTTAAGGTTATTTAAAGGTCTCCTATTCTGTCTTTTTCAGGTTTGATTGGTAATATGTCAGTTACAGAACATGTAAATTTTCGCAGGACTTTGACTTGGAAATATCATTGATGCAAATTTTGTGAAGCAGTTCTCTGGCGATGCTCAGTGAGATATGCGTGCGGGAACTGGCAAGCTTCGAGGACTTGGATTCCTATTAAAAACAAATGAGTTTTAACAGACAGTTTTTTTAGAAACAGACAATTCAAATATTGAATATAGGCTAGCGAATTGGCTTCCTTCTAAAGTAAGTTCACGCTCGATCCGGTTTATATTATTATTATTCTCGTAAATAGCTGCACATACGCATCCATGTGTTGTTAAAGCTTTGGCATTAAGAATTGAATGGTGTAAGTTCACTTACACGATTCAATTCTTAATGCCAATTCTTAATTGCTTACCTGCTTGCTGATTTTCTTTGCCTGCTTTTTATCTCTGCTTTCCTTAAGGCGTATCTGCTTTAGAATTCCAACCAGGAGTTCATCCACATTATGCTGGATTCCAGAAGACGTCTCGATAAATTTGCAGTCCCTTGACGTTGCAAGTGCTTTTCCTTCTGTTAAAGCAATGATGACAATAGTTATATTAGCATTAAAAAAATTAAGTTATCGTTAGTGTCGTTTATTTAAAATGTTGTTAGTAAATAAACTTCAATTTATTTGCTTAAATCACACAATATCTGACTTTTATCCACACTGACTACACTTTTACACTTTTTATGCAGATTCTTCTCCACTGCCCATATTGAGGAGACCATATATGGAAATTTCCTACGCCGCGCGCGCGGTCAACAAAGGGCGCGGCGTAGGAAAGAGAGGACATACTCGAAGCAGCGAGAAGGCAAGCGCCGGCGCCGGCCGGCGGCCAACAGTGCCATCACGTCCGCGACGGCGAATGCATGTCTCAGCTTCCTTACGATATAGTTACGCGAGTGCTTATACACAGCTTATTGTTTTTATGTTTTTATCGCCTTTCCTTTGTTTCTTGCCTCTATTCTAACTTTCTATTTCTCTTGTGCTCACGTCTGTACTTCGCTTGTGCTCTGTTTGAACTTTAAATACATAGTGTGGACTTATTTACGTAGTTGTTATTTGCCACGCCCGCTTACCCACGCTATACTGGTGACCCCGACGTTGGACAATATCGACTGTTATTTACGAGTGAACAACGCAAAACACAATGGAAGCAAATAGATCCGGTAAAGTAATAAGCGGCAGACCTACAGGCATCGAAACCGACAACATCGATAACGGTTCAGTGTTTAAAGTTTCTGTACGCGCGCCGCCATTTTGGCCAGAGGAACCCGCCTTATGGTTCTCGCAAATGGAGGCACAATTTTCCTTGTCTGGAATCACGAGTGACTCAACAAAGTTTAATTATGTAATTGGGCAATTGGAACATCAATATGCTGTGATAGTAAAAGAAATTATTAATAATCCTCCAGCGGAAAATAAATATTTAGAACTGAAAAACGAGCTTATAGTGAGATTGTCAGCTTCGCAAGAAAAAAAGCTGTTGCAACTGCTGAAACACGAGGAACTAGGTGAGAGGAAACCATCACAATTTTTGCGACATTTGAGGACGCTAGCCGGTAAAACTGTGACGGAAGAATTTCTGAAAACAGTGTGGACCAGCCGGTTACCTACCAGTTTACAGACCGTTATCGCGTCGCAACCTAGTGCCACGTTGAATGAGTTGGCCGACCTAGCGGACAAGGTACATGACATAGTACCACAGGCACCTCAGGTTTGTGCGTTAGGTTGTAGAAGCTACATTACGGAGATGGCAAAGCAAATGGCAGAATTAACACGAGAAATAGCTTCACTAAAAGTCCAGTACCACGCGCAGCCATCAAGATCACACAGCAGAGACGGTGGTAGTCGTAGAAGAAGCAGAACACCCTTCCGTCGTCGAGATCGATCGTCATCCAAGCCGAGGGATACAACAATATGCTGGTATCACAACAGATTTGGTGACAAAGCAAGCCGCTGCACCAGGCCTTGCAGCCACCCTAAGGCGGAAAACTTCAACGGCAGCCGGAACTAGCGGCCTACGACTGCCAATCAAAACCGGGCCGCCTCTTCGTAGTGGACAACACTTCTAAGGTACTTTTCCTAGTTGACACAGGATCAGATTTGTGCGTGTATCCGCGCACAGCGCTTAGAGGGCACCGTACGAAGACTAATTATGAATTGTTTGCAGCAAATGGGACAATTATAAACACTTACGGCTCGGTTCGCTTGGAGCTTAATCTGGGTTTACGCCGAGCGTTCACCTGGAACTTCGTGGTTGCTGACGTGGCAAGAGCGATCATAGGCGTTGACTTTCTATCACACTATAATATACTAGTTGATTGCAGAAACCAGCGCCTGATTGACAACCACACCTCGCTCACCGTTAATGTGCCAGCCCAACCTGGTATAGAGGCTATATCTTCGGTGAAGGTGACAATTGGGGTCTCCAGGTATTTAGAAATATTACGCAACTACCCACATATCACTCGCCCTTCAGGCACACCTACGGAAGTCAAGCATAATACTATGCACCATATCCGCACCACGCCTGGACCGCCCGTATCTAGTAGACCTCGACGCCTGCCACCAGATCGTCTCAAGATCGCACAGAAGGAGTTTGAGGCTATGCTGCGGAACGGCACAGCATCCAGGTCCGAGAGCTCATGGTCGTCTCCGCTTCATTTAGTTCCTAAAAAGGATGACGGCTGGCGACCATGCGGTGATTACCGCGCTTTAAACGCCCGTACTATCCCAGATAAATACCCTATTCGGCATATACAGGACTTTGCTCAACAATTATCTGGGAGTAAAGTTTTCTCCAAAGTGGATCTGGTCAAAGCATATAACCAGATTCCGGTCCACTCAGCTGATATACCCAAGACAGCTATTATAACACCGTTCGGACTGTTTCAGTTCCCATACATGATGTATGGACTCCGGAACGCGGCACAGACGTTCCAGCGCTTTATAGACGAAGCACTCAGAGGCATGGACAACTGTTACGGCTACCTGGACGACATCCTGATCTTTTCCGCAACTGAAGAAGAACACCAGCAACATGTCTGTGAGTTATTCCAACGATTAACAGACTACGGAATACTAATCAACGCCGCTAAATGTGAATTCGGAGTATCGACCATCACTTTCCTTGGGCATGAAGTATCATCTGAAGGCATTCGACCATTACCGTCAAAGGTGCAGGCCATTTTGGAATATCCCATCCCCAAGACAGTGAAGGAGCTCCGAAGGTTTCTGGGGATGTTCAACTTTTACCGCAGATTCGTACCAGGTGCATCAGCTCTACAATCACCGCTGAACCTAGTACTTAGCGGACCTAAGAAGAAGGCCTCACAGGAGATTGACATGACGAAGGAGATGTCGGAAGCATTTGAAGCATGCAAGGAAGGTTTGTCCCACGCAGCCAATCTAGCACATCCGAATCCTGATGCTGAACTTGCCATCCACACCGACGCATCAGACGTTTCAATTGGTGCAGTACTACAGCAGCGTGTAAATCGTGGATCCTGGGAACCCCTGGCATTCTTCTCCCGGCGGCTTAAGCCAGCGCAAAAGAAATACAGCCCTTATGACAGAGAGCTATTAGCCATATACGAGGCTATACGGCATTTCCGCCACATGGTCGAAGCCAGGGCATTTATCATATATACAGACCACAAACCTCTAACGTACGCATTCCACTCCGCAAGAGAAAAATGTTCCCCGAGACAGTTTCGTTACTTGGATTTTATATCACAATTTAGCACCGACATACAGTACATAGCGGGAAAAGACAATGTCGTAGCGGACGCGCTATCCAGAGTGGAGGAGATTCGCAAGCCCATAGATTACGAAGCTTTGGCACAATCTCAGAAAATGGATCTTGAAATGAATGACCTGATGCAGCACGGATCTGGACTCAATTTAAAGAGGATCCAACTACCTGATGTCAACTCTTTTATATATTGCGACATATCAACAGCAAACGCAAGGCCATATGTGACTGATGCTTTTCGAAAACTAGTTTTCAACGCAATCCACGGACTGAGCCATCCCGGTGCCAAGGCGACAACTAAAATGGTGACGCAAAGATTCGTTTGGCCAGGAATCAAAAGAGATTGCCGTCAGTGGGCAAAAGAATGCGCAGATTGCCAAAGAAACAAAATTTCACGCCATACCACATCACCCATATCTCCATTTCCCACTCCTTCCTCAAGATTTTCCCATGTCCATATGGACATAGTAGGGCCATTACCATATTCTTTTTGGTTACAGGTACTGCCTCACGGTCATCGATCGTTTCACACGTTGGCCTGAGGCATATCCACTGCCGGACATCACTGCAGAGTCCTGCGCACGAGCATTTGTTGGGGGTTGGGTAGCCCGCTTTGGCTGCCCGAACAAGATCACCACTGACAGGGGCGCACAGTTCACGTCCGAGCTGTTCCGCGCCGTGTCAGCAATCATCGGCTCCGAGCACCGTCCGACTACGTCGTACCACCCAGCATGTAATGGGATGGTCGAGCGGCTTCACCGGCAATTGAAGGCAGCAATTATGTGCCATACCAACACTCACTGGACTGAAGTCCTACCCTTAGTGCTGCTGGGCATCCGCAGCGCCTGGAAGGACGACGTGCAATGTTCAGCGGCAGAACTGGTTTATGGGGAGCCACTACGCCTGCCTGGTGAGTTCTTTGAGCCTACGAAGGACACTACCGTCGACTACGCAGACTTCGCAGCCAGACTACGGGACCACATATCGAAGTTGACTCCTGTACCAGGTACTCGACACGCTCAAAAGCCTTTCTACATCCCCAAAGACCTCAACTACGCTGACTACGTGTTTCTTCGACAAGGACCAGCAAAGCGAGCATTAGATTCTCCATACACAGGCCCTTACAAAGTCATACAAAGAGGCAACAAAACCTTTAAGATCGACATCAGAGGTAAAGAGAATACCATCTCAATAGACAGGCTCAAACCAGCGTATATTACAAAAGATGCCGATTGCAGAAGTCCCAGCCAGCATCCTCCACCCAACGAACCCACACCGGAGAGCCCAGAACCTGCTACTACTAAAAAAAAACAAGCAGTGGTCGAGCAGTACGATTCCCTGATTACTATCGACCGTAGCAAGCAACGGTCTCGGTGGGGGAGTGTGAGGAGACCATATATGGAAATTTCCTACGCCGCGCGCGCGGTCAACAAAGGGCGCGGCGTAGGAAAGAGAGGACATACTCGAAGCAGCGAGAAGGCAAGCGCCGGCGCCGGCCGGCGGCCAACAGTGCCATCACGTCCGCGACGGCGAATGCATGTCTCAGCTTCCTTACGATATAGTTACGCGAGTGCTTATACACAGCTTATTGTTTTTATGTTTTTATCGCCTTTCTTTGTTTCTTGCCTCTATTCTAACTTTCTATTTCTCTTGTGCTCACGTCTGTACTTCGCTTGTGCTCTGTTTGAACTTTAAATACATAGTGTGGACTTATTTACGTAGTTGTTATTTGCCACGCCCGCTTACCCACGCATGACATATGAACTAACTAACTTCATGCAACAAAATACTGTTGCGTGGCCGGCCCTATCACACTTAAATTACTTTTACGCACCATTTGTTGTAACTTGTCTCGCCCTAGCCAGATCGGCTTTATTCCCAACAAGTACGACTGTTCTTTCCACAGTGAACTGTTCACGGGCTAAGTACTGAAGTAATTCTGCGGCCCGGGTGAACGAACTTTTAGCCACGACGGAGTAAACAACCACGCAAGCATGAGGCTCGTATGTCGATAGGCAATTCTCAATCTGCAACAAGGCAACTTATGTAGTTTGCAAATTAACATTTACACAACAAATAATAGTCATAGCCTAGCTAGAGGATGTCGGTCCACAATTCACAGCTGATTTTCCTTTATAGGTTTTTAAACTGTGATAACTGGTAGGATCCCGGTTCCACCAAATTTATAGCCACAGAATGCAACTAGTTATCTCTATCTTTTATTATTAACAAACTACTCTTGCCTTTAGAAATAAATAGGCGTATCACGGGTTTTAGAATGCACTAAACTTCCTAGATTGGGACAAATAGTTATGGAGAACGCAAATATCGCTTTGTGGGGATCGAACTGACAACACAGCATGCAAAGGCAGTTGGAATGGTATCGACCTAAACAGCACCACCATTAGTACAGTTACTTGCGAGTGTGATAAATCACTGCCTCATATTTGTATGCATGGCCATAGAGTCATCTGGGCGCATTACTTACCGACATTTCCGTGCTAGGATGATCGATGAAAATAAGTTCTGATTCTTCACCATCCAGCAAAACAGATACCGACTTTTCACCGAATTCATCATCTGAAACAATATAGACATATTTAATGTATCCTCATACATTGATAAGTTAGAAGGATCATTACGATGAGCTCTTAGGTAATCAAACCTTTGGGGTTTCATTCTTATATGAAGTAATATGTATTCAATAATGCAGATCACTACTCATAGATTTATAAGAAGTTATCAATATAGATTGAGATTTATTTTTTGGTAGTCCAACTGTAAGATGGCAACATGTGGGCTTAAATTAAAATGATATACAAGTTACATTAAAAATACTTCATCAAGTTCAATATTTCAACTGCCTAAGTATAAAACGACTAGAGAAATTTAAGTGCTAACTTAGTTTAATTAATGTTTATAGTTGTGCAAATATAAACAATAAACATATTTTTAGAACTGATTATACTAATTCGATTTAAAACTGCTTTTAACAAACAGGGAATAATTAACATTGCGTTATGTAGCACGGTTATTTATTGAGCTTGGTATAAATAGATAAAAAGTAACGATACCAACTCTTCTAACCTTCTTAATTTTTTAAACAGTTACACTTTGTTTTAATTAAAAATTAAAATAAAACTGTAATCATTTTTTATTACTTGTAGAAGATATAGTCTTCAAATATACAAATCTACGGAATCTACAAAAAGTTCGTGAATTATTTTAACATTCGTATTTTATTCATTGTAACCTGGTTCGGGAATGAGTTTGTATCGTAATAATGGGGAGGCTATATAACTAAGTATTAGTTTTGCTCAGTCTTTTAACCCAGCGAGATATAGCATCCATTCGGAAAATAATCGCCCTAATTTGATGTTTGTAAATACCCTTGTTGTTCTTATGTCTATCCTTCATGGATTAAAAATTAATATGTATTCAGTAAAACAAAGCTGGATAGTATATGTTGATGCTTATTATCATTATTTTAAATGCATCAATGATTCGATATTTACGCAACTAATCCAAATTGTTGATGGACATACACAATTACATACATGTATTGCATGCAATTAAATAATCTACAAATACATTCAAATGTATTTCCTTGTTTGTTGTTGAACAACAGAAGCATTATGAGATAGAAGATTAATCAAAATTCTTTCGAATTTCAGCTAGAAGGCTAAAATGACTCAAAATTGACACCCACAATGTTTCGTAAAGAAATTGGGTCACATTGAAGAGTACACGAACGTTGAATTTCGTTTACTTATTACATATTTCGGTGTCTATATTGCTTGTAGAAATTAATTAAGTGTCCTGCCAAGCAACGAAGGAATTGAGGGAGCACCTGTGCATACACTTCTTAATATAAAGCTGTATTATTAAACACGCACACAACATTAGGTAACATGAAAGCGTGATTGCAGTAGAAAAAATAGAACATCAGAAAGTTATTAGCTAAAAAATTTACCAGAACCGGGTGTCTGCGGCAAATATAAGTCCATCTCATCATCCCTGAAGGAGAGAACGCAGACAACTATAAGCATTTGTTACTCACCTCATATTAATATTTGTTTCTGTTGCGTTATTGTCTTAAATTACACGAACAAATTACAAAATGAAATTAATATCAAGGCAAACAACAAGTACCATAATTATTCTTTGTTTGCATACTAAATTCTTTGTAAGTCATACAAATCCTCGCACTCAGCTGTATTCAAATCCATGGCTAGGGCGTAAAATCTAAGCATACCTTCTATAGAAGGAACACTGACCTTAAATTTTTCCGTGCAATTGATAAGCAACAATACTTTACTAATGTCTACACACAATTTTTGACGAAATTTATTACTAATCATATCACTGCTTAAGAAACGTCTAAGCGAATAAATCAGTAGTGGAGAACTTACCTGGTTTTGTTTCGCCTGAAGATTGCAAGTAAAAAGAAGTTGATATATTTACATCAGAGCGTTAGTCAGCCATTAAAGTTTGGATTCTAACTTACATTGCTTAGTACAAGTAAGCATAGAGAATAACATGCATAAGCCAGAAATTTCACAATTCCAATACAGATAGAAAAACTAAATCAAGTTGCAGGGGATAAGGCAAAGTTGTTGAACTATTAAAATTTTATTGAATGCATACTGTAATTCATTTAAAAGTTAAAAAGTTATAAATAACCATAACAGTGGTATATGTTTCTTTAAGTAGTAATTATAAAATATGTGCAAACGCCTTACAAAAAAAAATAATTTTTTCAAAATTAAGGATTGGATAAAAATCGATCAATAGCATTAATACGATTGAATATTGGTTCATGCTAAATTGTGTAACTAAATAAATACATAAAATGAAACTGTTTTCTCGGATTTATCGCGTTTATTTTTAATTTTGGTTCCCGACGTTTAGAACCATTTTTGACGTTCGTGGTCACGGAACAGAAGTAAATGTGATAAATCTGTAAAAATAGTTTCATTTAGTAATGCGTAAATACATAAACTTTACGAATATTAAAACTATCATGAAACTTGGTGAGCTAGCCATCTTGGGATGCACAATGCACAAGAATCAAACCAAAATGGCTAATAATATCCATATATTTTACATAGATTTCAACATTAATTTCCATCTGCGCTCACTTGTTTTTAATTTTCTTTTCCAACCACCTAGGTGGTGAAAGTTACGTAGTGGTAAAAGACCCTAGCTTAGAACCTATTCACTCTTGCTTTTTTTTACATTTATCGCAATGGGAGCAACAAAATGTAGTTTTGTCGTCAAGTATAACATAAAGCATAATAACGTGTGGGCGTTTTATTATGTAAGAAATTGGCCAGTGAGCGGGCAGTTCAACTAATCACAGCCGCCCATTTACACCTACAACACCCATGAGTCGTACATGCTAACCAATTGAAACAATTTTACGACCTTTTTAAAAAAAAATATAGTGCTAATCTCTGCACTTAAGATTAAACATTAAAACTTGTAGAAAAAGTACGCATCTATAACAAATATATAACCCAACGGCTCCAGCGATTTTCATGAAATTTTGTATGTGCGTAGATTCCCGGGCGAAAAATCTATCTAATTAGGTTTCATTTATAGAAATTGTCCTTTTATCCCCGTTTTCAGGGAATGAAAAATATGAATGATATTACGGTAATAAAATAATATGACGGTAAATTTCGCCGTTAAAAAAATGTTATAATAGCTCGGTCGGTAATCGGGCGGCCCCGAAACAGAAGGCCGCGGTTCGTGTCACGATCATTTACACACTATATATTATTTTTTTTTACTTTTTTTTCTATACCATATCATTGCTTTCTTTATTTTTTTAAGTTCCAAAATACACGATTTATCAAAAAAGAAACCAGTCTAGGTACTATAATTAAATTGGCCAAAATCAATTCATCATCCTCCCTTAACCCACTAAGGTGGGGTCGGCACAACATCAGGTTGTAAGCGGCTATGTCGGAAAGTACCCTCCTTGGGAAACATTAAGCAGATAGGGAACAATTTTTTGTGGGTCATACAAATACTTTTTCGGTGGTCCGGGAATCGGACCCACGCCCCCCGACACCGAAACCGATAGCTTAGTAACGGCGCCATCGAGTCAATTACGTAAAAAATTTATAGCGATTAAGAATTGCATAAATGTATATACATTTACGAAAATAATCAAGTTGAAAAAGCCTGTCTCAACAATACATTCAGTACCAGGATCCTAAAAAAAAATTGCAATGCAGTGTTGTACCGATTTTATTCTGGACAAGGCTTTATTGGCATTTTATTAGAAAGGTAGATTAATTTCATTTTGGATCCAGCAATATTTTGTATCATAATCATATTTTAAACTAAACAAAATAGCTTTATCTGTTACGTATAAACTGTAACGATAAAAATACTTTGAAATTAAATTAAAATCCATTATCGCTATGATCATGTCATGTCAAAAATACTTGCGTATAGGATAATGCGTATAACTCGGCTAATTTAATGGGCTAATTTATTCTTGCATCCATAGAGATATCGTGGATATAGAGTCCATACGCCGACGAGATTATACGAGAATAGTTACACATGAGAACATACATGGGCATAATTGACACGTCTCGCCCACGTTCGTTACGAAACGTGTATTCCCGTTTCAGTGTCAATTTGTTGTTTTATATCTGCAAGGAAAAGGGATCTCGTAAATGCTCGAGTCAATGCGAGTAAATGCTCTCCAATTTCTGTTTCTCTTTCATTGCCTCGCCAATAAATTACAAGGCCCCATTCACTACATGCGTCAATTTATAGGTGCGGCCTGGTTGATAAAAGTAAGTGTAAAATTATTAAGATAAACACACAAGTGGTAATAGCGTCAATATTGATTATCTATAAATATTTAAGATATTTTTTATTTAAATGTGTACCTAGCAAAAAAGTACGAAAGGTTTTTCACCACTGTGAAATCGAAGCTACGTGTTCGGGATTCGCGCCCAGACGCTTTGGCCACTAAGCTAGACGGTGGATTGCCAAGTCTTGTTTTTAGAATTTAGAGCAATTCTTCCATTGTTATATTCTTTACAGGATACAAAAAATTTCGAAAAAATTCAAAAGACGACTAAAGACAAGGTAGATTTATTTTCATGAGTTGAAAAATGATGTAAACGTGTAATAAAAAGACGCTAAATACGAAACAGCGCCACAAAATCCGTTATCAGGTGGGCACCTAGACGTTTATATAACCTAAGGGTAAAACAATTTTAGCATTATACATCTCTCGTTAAATAACAATAGTACTCACCCAAACTTGCGTCGTAAGTATTCATGTACTCCGATGTCATAAATTGGGACACCAGAGCTGTCTTCCCGACTCCCGCGTCACCCAGTAACACTACTCGGTACTTTGGTATCTGAAACCGAAACTTTGTCCTTTGCATTTTCGACTGAAGGATAATGAGTAGGGGCGGACTGTAGCGAAATTTTGCTCATAAATTCAATTTTCTCTCGGTGCCTAACATTTTAATAATTTAATTGTATTTTTAATTGTCTACTCTTCTAAATGTTGTGAAAATTTGTAAAAAAATGGCGGGGAAAACAGTTAGTTTAATTGGGAATCATAGCCTTCGATTACGCACATTAAATAAAACGTATTTCGGCCTTGTTCAAGTCAACAAACAGTAATTCTCGTTTTGTATAAATCTATAATTTTAAGGATCCGTATTTCGTAAGTTGTTGTGACTTGTATAAGTTACGATGGGGTTGGCGTATGTTTGTAGATAAAAACTCCATTAAAATAAAAGATTATAAAAATGATTACGCATATTACGATGGGGCACGATTTCTCACTCCATTGGTAATTGCTTTTAGGTTTATTTTAATTTCACTCGATATTAGCAAATTATGCAATTAATGTTAATATACAATATTAATGTGTATTGAGATGACGGCTGATAGAGAAAATTGGAAGGAAAGGACATGTGCCGACGGCTCATTGAAAATTAATAAATTATGCAATGAATATTACTATACAATATTGAGGAGTATTGAGATAACGACTGATAGAAGAAAGTGGATTGAACATGTTGTTTCGAACACACTGATGAGGGCTGATGGAAAGGACATGTTCTGCTGACTCCACCTAGTGTGGGGTAAGGGCAGGAGAAGGAAGACGAAGATGTTAGTAGAGAACTAGAGAACCACGTTACCGGATCTAAGTCGTCTTCTTCAGGTGTTGTCAAACTGCCTGAATCCACGGGGCGATACCCTGAACAGCATGAGCCGTCGAACGGTGACCGGTCTGATGCCCTGTGAAGGAGCATTCAGTGAACAAAGAAAACAAACAACAGAACTGTGGTGGCGCCACGCAACAGTCTTCGCTGTTGCACGAATGGGCAGGTCCATCCGGGGGAGTACCACGACCTCACAGGAAACCGGAAAGTGGAAGTATACTACTTCTGCGTCTCGTCTGGTAAGTGTGGTAGCCGGGGCCCACTTTATTAATAGGTGGCAACGCATCTACAACCCTACGGGGGCATATGTTAATGGGAGGTGGTTATCACTTAACATCAGGTGAACCGCCAGCTCGTTTACCACTTTTTCACATAAAAAATGAAAAAGTGTGTGTGTACTTATGTACACGCGTTAGAAGTTATACTTCTTTGGCGTAACAAGAAAATCTTTTTAAAAATTTTATCTTTCGCCTACGTTTATTCTACGTTTGTAGAAAAAACGACACTAACAATAGACAAAATGTATTTAATACATTGAAAGTTTTATTATGACGCCTTATCTAGTTTAATAAAGTTTATTTAAATATCACAAAATAAATATCGTGAATACAGTTGTCAGTTCTCACGCAAACGTACGTAGATATCTAGCTAACTTCAGGGTGTTGATTTTTGGTGACGGTGTGCGCGCGCATCGTAAAAATTCACTCTCATCATTTTTCCCTAACGCGCTAAAAGAAGTATAACTTCAATATATAAACAAATGTAATAATAATTACTGTTAATTCTTCACTTCATCGAAAAATAATATGAATTACCTGCTATTAGTCGAATTGACTGAGGTGTTGGAGCGGCTTCGACGGTTGCAGATAGAGTCTCCGCAATTCACGACCCCACCCTTTGTGGTGATGGAGAATGTCCTTAATCTGTACAGGTCGTCCGACAGGCGAGGGTTGTATGGCTTCTCAGGTAGTGAGCACACTCTAGGCCGGGCGTGTTCAACCACTAGAAACATCACAATTATATCATTACATAGTATAAAACAAAGTCGTCTCGGTGTCTGTCTGTCGCTATGTATGCAACGGTCTATCGCAACGGATCTTGATGCGGTTTTTTATTAGATAAAGTGATACAAGAGGAAGGTTTATATGTATTTGCACCCGTGCGAAGCCGGGGCGGGTCGCTAGTATGGTATAAAGGAGTAAAAAATGAAGATATGACATGACAGAAGAATGAGAAATAAAGACAGACGGTGCAAGGACAGAAGGTGCCGTATTTTTAGTGTACTCAGACACTCCAGGGACACTGCACATATCCCTACCCACTTGGTGGTGGGGATTCCATAGAGGATTTTATCCACGTAAAAAAATGGACTAGCCGAATACATCTGCTATAATATGACGGCCTAAATCGCTAGCTTTAATTTTTAAGAGATCTAAGTTTGTATACAAAGTATGTTAAAATATTAACCTGGAAGACTCGCGGATAAAAGCTAGTTCGTAATACATTGTTTGTATACGGGCTCAACGACACTGAATGTTTCTAGAACAGGATTGATGTTTAATGAAAGGATTAGGACGATTCACTTCGGCAGGTCAATACAATGGCGCAGGAACAAATTTATTAATTAATCTTAGATGATGTATGTATTATTTTTTAATCTTGGACACTGATAGAACTGGGTAGTACTTGTATTTTTTTTGTTTAGATGATAGTTGTATATACCTATCTATAGTGGGCATAAATATAAGAAATAAAACGTTTTTTTTATTAATGTCAGAATTTGCCAATCGAGCAGACGTTGATGACCACCTGATGTTAAGTGAATACTTCCATGGACATCTGCTACACCCGTGGGTTGAAGATGCGTTGACAACCTTATAAAAAATTGGGCTCCGGCCACCTCACTCACCAGACGAAACGCGAAAGTATTATACTTCCACTTTACGCCGGTCTTCTGTGAGGTCGTGATACTTACTCGGACGAGCCTGCCCATTCGTGCAACAGCCGAGGCTGCTGCGTGGCCCTACCACCGTAAACGTGAAGTTAACATATAGAAATGTAAGTATATGTTATGCTGTTGGTGTACCTTAGTAAATAAATAAGTTAATAACAAGTATTTATTTAAATCATCTCAAAAGAACATTTTCAAAAACGATAATAAATATTTTTAGGACACATTTTTACACAACGTTCTCTAGTCCCAAACTAAGCAACGCTTGTACTACTTGTGACTAAAAATTACAAGTACTACTATCAGTGCCCAATACTATGGGTACTAGATAATTGATAAACATACTTAAACATGCTTTTCTTTCGTAAATAAATACATATTATACATATGTTTATTGAAAAACACTACGCTCATCACACAAGATTTTTCCAGTTGTGGATCGAACCCACATCCTCTAGCGCAGGAGGCAGGTACACTACCCACTACGCCGTTCGGGTCGTCATATACCATACGTCATTACGTTCAGGTCGAAAAAACAGTCCAAAATGTTTAGCTCATTTAATTAATTGAGAGGAAAGTAAATCATCGGGCTCAAGTACCAATGTTTTGTCGCTAAGGTCTCTGTGGTTTTAGGATTATCTTGTTTGTAACGGGCCTTTGCGAAAAGATTAAGTCGTATTTGCATTTGTAAGTGAAATAACAGCCCGTCGGCGCGGCCTTAGACGAATTATAAAATTAATAACAGGCTTATGAATATCTCATTTCTTTAGGATTACGTAAATACGAGAATGTTCTGTCATTCTTTTGTACGCATCGACATTCAAAGAAAAGTTTTTCCTCTTAGTTGTCTCATTTCGAATACCGTGAGTATTTGTTAAAGGGCAATCAAATTTTAGGATGAAAAAATTAAATTACGCTGAAAATATTTAATATGTGAGCGCTTTATTGATAAATATGACTGATTTTCGTACTGTAAAATATTGTTCAGACAAAATTGTTTTTTACAAATTGATGTACATGTACAAATAAGTATTTACATGAATGAGAGGTATCTTATTTTGAAGAATAGCAGTAAAATTCAGAGTTCTTCGATATATTTCATTAAAGCAAAATGTCTATTGGGGAAGATTGGCACCATTCGTACATTTTTTAGACTTTGATTTTTAAAAATCTGATATCAAAGATAAATTGCTTAATCTGTTATTATAACAAATTACATACATTCAGCTTCCTAATAAAAATTTATGGAATCATTATTTATTAAAATAAATGAATGAAATGCATTTTATAAAAGATGTCAAATGTCCGAATCTACCCCACTATAGGAGGGTACATTCGTACATTGGTAGGGGCACATTGAATGGCACACTAAATGGTATTATCATACATTCTTTACAGTAAGTTATATACCTTCAGGGAATTTTTTTTTAAGAAAACGTTAATTTTATTGTATTTGTCTATTTTTGTCAATAGCGCTTTAAAATTATGTTAGAATCATTACATTTAAAATTGTGAAAGTTATAGCGTTTCGACCAAAAACATTGAGAATTGATAATATATAGAGATCTGACCGAGAAATAAATATTCGTAAAAATCTTCAAGTTAAATTTATATTTCGTTCTAATGCTCATAAAGACGAAATGCAACGTGTGTTTTCCATCTGAACCTTTTAGTTAAATGAGATAATGGAACCGTCAGCATGATATGGTAATACATAATATGCTAACTGTCATAAAACTAACAAATACGTCAGTACGCGCATCGTGTTGCTCGATTACTACGAAATTAAAGTCCAGCGGCAGTAAACCGGGCTATAACTATTTGAAACAATTTGGCAGCACTTGCGTTGTTACATATTTAAACTCGCTTAGCTGCGCCAAATTTGAACAATGCTATTTACATTGGGTTTGCAGTTTCTACTATAAGGTTGATTACTTCAAAGTGTTATATAAATAAAGCAAGTTTATATACACAACACCTTGGAATAGATATAATATCTACATGTAATATCATACATGATATTAGACCTTTCTCGAAAGTACAGAAAAGATAAACTTTAAAAACATTATTACCTGGCAACTCCAGAAAGTTTGACGTCCTCCGCTGTCTGCCTCGCATCGTATTCTGAAAGTTCAGCGGACCAATGTCCTCCACTGAGTCGCAGTTGGAAATCGTTGACTCTCTAGATCCACGCCTGCTCGCCAGGTATGCTAGACCGCCTTTTATCGAGCCCTTGCGCATTGGCGAGCAAGGCCTGCTGATGCTAGTCGATCTGGTGCACGGAGTATCATCGGTCAGGTCGGTTAGATCCGAAGTAGACTTGCGGCAGATCCTAGACGAAGTGGTGGTCGCCTCATCGTCCGCATCGTGGACTATAGCGTCCGTCGATTCGTCGGTATGGCTCGAGACAATGCTCGGTGACGTCACCAGCCTCGGCGAGCTGACGGTCGACGTGCTGCCGTACAATTTCCGCGTCCTATTCGGAGACACGTATCCTGGGTTTGTGTGGATGTGCACGGGCGGCGGCTTTGGCGATCTGGACTTTTCGCGCCTGCCGTGTTTCAGCGACGTGGTGTAGTGGAGGCCGTGTGGTAACCTGTCAAAGTTGCAAGGGCTCGAGCGCCCTGAGGGAGACTTTTGCGGGAAGTTGAAATGCCTCGGGCTCATGGGGCTTCTGTGGCCATGGGCGATTGGCGACTTTGGCGGTGGATTGTGCTTGTCGTAGCTACACCCCGACTGGGGAGTGAAATAGCCAGAAGACGAGGTGCTGGAAGTGATGGAGGGGCTCTTCTGAGGGAAGATAAAGTGTCGTGGGCTCTTAGGAGTTAGAGGTTTCGGCGATATTGGTGGGTAGCCACCTGGACTATTAACCGCCATGATTGATCCGATTCAGTGCAAGGATTTATCACACATCACTCCTTGTCAATCTGCAACAAATAAATTTGTATTAGTTACGGTTGTGACTTAATATAGTTCAATATCGAGACTATCTAATTTTGCTATTAACTTTTTTCAGATAGTTCATATCATTTTTTCTGATTATAAATCACACTGTCCACGCTAACCTTTAACAAAATTTAAGATGCTCGTATTATTTCTGAGCTTGTTCAATTGTAACCCATAGATCAATAAACGAGGTGATATAGGTGAAAAATATTCATGGAATTACAGAAAAGAGAGTTCATAGAACACAGATAATTGATTGTGACAGTTTAGGGTCGGAGCTATCTGTTCAGTTTCATCACGTTACAAAATTTTACTTTAGGGCACTGGTGATAGACTGACAAAAAGCAGATGTAGAAATCTTTATGGGGTTTCAAAATTAATGTTTAAAATCGGGTAACAATATTAGCTGATGTTTGTTAGATTTAAATATTATTTTTCTGCGAATAGTAGGTACATATATGTATCTACATGTTTATATAAAACTAATGTTAGAGTGTAACAGTCCCTAATTGTACTTTTAATGTAAAACAATTACAAGCTGATCATTTGAAGTAGCGGCTCATATATTATATGGATATTGCAATTCATGTTCAAGTATTTTTTGTTTATTTTTCATTTTATATAGTTTCGAACCATTACGAGTACTATTTCAATTAGTACTTCAACTAATACTGCATACTACGAAAGTATTAGTACAGAGATTTTCAAATGTTGGGGCTAACTCCGGCTATGATGATATAAATGATAATAGAATTTATTAGAACACTTTATTACCAAATTGATATAGTTACAATGATACACTGGTGTTGCAGGTGTCCATGGGCAGCGGTGATCACTTACCATCAGGTGAGCCTCCTGCTCGTTTACAGCTTTTTTCCCATAAAAAAAACACTTTGATCATATTTATGATATGATAATTAGCAGTGATAATTTGAGAGCACGTGGTTTGCTTGATTACCGAACGTGAACTGACTTATATTAAGGAATATGCAACCAATTCATAGACAAAATAAAAACTACGCTTTACTATGTATTCTAAACTGTGTGTAACGTTATAATGAAAATTCCGCAAATAGTAAAATTTCCATAAATAATATTTCTACAAATTGTGTTGTTGACGTCACGTTACGCTATCAGCGAGAGATAAAATATTGATTTTCCGTTGTATTCAGCTGCTGTTTAGAATAGGCGTAACGTGTTTGAATAAGCCAAAGCATTACCAATAACAAAACTAGCTCAAACAAAGGGGCTTTTACTTTAAAGGTTAATTCATTATAAGCCAACACAACCAGATTATACTTCTCAATTTTAGCTCCACTCAGGTTAGTTTCGGTATTTGGAATCATAAATTAAATCAAATAGATTCGTGTAAGCAACGCAATGAACTTGTGTATGCAGCTTCCTCAGCTTATGCTATTTATATAAACGTTTTTGGGATTTAGAAGGAATTTAAATAAACAAACACTGATAAACGGAAAGACTAAATAGGTGTGATTTTTTAACATACGATTAAGAAGCAGGTAATTTTTGGTCGTGGGCAAATAAGTGACTTAAGTAAAATAGTTAATGTAAGTAAACAGATTTGTCTATTGGTGTTAATAAAACTAGTAGCAAATATCCGTATGTAGTTTCTAGCTCTATACTTCGACAAAGCCGAATAGAGGCACGTGCCGTAATATATGTTTATACTACATCATTGGATAGGATTACTTCCTCTAAGCTTATACAAAGGTTTGCTGCAACCGGTGACAGGCGTTCGCAGCCTAAATGGTTATATAAGTCTAGCTTTGTCGAAACACGTGTCTAGTATTTACTTGAAATTATAGTAGATTCTATTCTAGACTTACATAATATTGGATGAAGATATTAATTAAGGAAACAAAATAGCGAATAAACAGTCATTCTTAAACTTTACTGATAAAAAGTTCTAAGTCCATGGAAACAACGCCTGACACCAGTGATTCTTTGACTAACACTTTAATTTAGTCTTGTTATCTCGGTATCATACCAATGATCAAACCGAGGTTCTTTACGTTTTGGCTGATAGGGATGGGAGAGTTCTCGTAAACTATTTGTGGAATACTACCAAAATCGTACATTACTGTTATGACGAGTACTCGTAATGATAGTGGCTAGTTATTTTTTGATAGCAACTAAATCCCGGTTAACGTTAGAAATAATTTCTGGGAGGGTGTAAACAGTTGCCTAGGTAAATAGCTGGAATTCATTAACATAAAGATGATACGCACACTGAAGATCATAAAATGAAACAATATAATAACAGAACAAAGCATAGGAAAGAGTATACCGCCTTGAGGAACACTAGTAACAATATTAAGCTAGCATGATGAAGGTTCACTGTTATTAAGCGATTGCTGTAAGATAGAAATCATATCAGCACTTCAACAGAGACCATGGTATAAGAGAGGGCGGATAACTGCATGTGAACTGAAGCTATTAAAAGTCGATAGAGTCTTAATACTCGTATCAACAATGACCTTATGGACAGCGATGGTTGTACTGTGACTACCTCCAGTCTCGGATTAGTGTTGTGATTGTTAGGATTGTGTAAAATGACGAAATTTTTGATAACTTACTCGAGTACTTTATGAAAATTTTTGGCGGAATAGAAATAGGTCGATAATAAGGATTAGAACACTTTAAAAGTGGACGTACAAAAGTATTTCGCCATAAAGTGTTTGATTGTGATTCTCTTAGTGTCAAAAATACTGAATTCACCAAATCTTTCCCATTGAGGCAATTACAGGCTTAGATAGGAATTCTTTACAAACAAGACACCGAGTTTCCGCACGCTAAAATTATGAAAGTGATCGCGGTAGCTTACAAAATGGAAATAAAATCGGAAAACATAACTTGACGTGATGTGATATGCGGAATGTGAACCTGAAATTCTCCAATACTGATTGAAAAATTCTCCAATTCTGATTTCCGTCGGTATGACGGAAATCTCCAATACTGATAACGTATGTTTTTATAAAATTTTCTACTTCGAAATCAATTTTATGTATTAAATTGTTTTTCGCAAAACAAAAAATAAGATACTTAAACGTTATTTTTAACCCCCATCATCAATAATCCGCTTGACGTCTCAATATATTATGTTATTTATGAAAGAATTAGAGTTGAGAGCTTCTTCGAGTCTGTTACAAGTTTTGACACAAAGATAATAAATTGAATCCAGAAAGATCGATCGTTTCGAAAACATTGAGTGAACTTTTGTGGTAAAAGAATGTGTGAAAATGATTTCGGCGTAATGCGTAAATTTTTATACCACGTACAAATTTTAAATATATAGTATTTATATGTTACTTAAATATCAAGATAAAATAAAGTTTTCTCAAGGAACGCCAATAAAGTTTTTAAAATAGTTTATCTGTTACCTTTCAGTTTTATTAATTTTCTGATAAAAGCATTCTTATTAATGTTTTGAGTAACTGACATTGCCGATAGCATATAAATGATTAATTCTTCGATCAGTCTTTTGAGACTAGTGAAGATATGAAATAACGAAACAAAATTATTTTGTAGTTTCAATTTGTATGTTAAATATTAAAAACCTAGTATATAATATATATTATGTATATTTGGGCATCGCTCAGAGATTCGTAGCTTGGCAAGGTACGAATCTCTGAGCGATGCAAAAAATTAATTCGTTATAGCTTACGAGTAGGTAGGTTAGTTTACATAGGTTTGGCGCGAGGAGCAATAGCCCGGGGCCATCTGCCGGTCTTGGACGAGCTGAGGGGGGGCAGATCAAGATTGCACTCATTCGCTAGCACCGAGTGGGAGCAGAGGCTGCACCACCCAAGAACCGGCCTCACACCACGGTGGTGCACAGGCGTCCCAACACCCTCACCGCTTGGCGGGGAGCCAACAGCGGTATGTCACCACTGCGACGAATGTGCCGAGAAGATGGCCGAACCGCACTAAAGTGCCCAGCTGGCGGGAGCAGCGCTAAGGGCTATCATGGACACGATTTGTTACTGCCCGCCGTGGTTCGTGCTATGGTGGACAGCGAGATGTCGCGAGTTGCCGTCCTTGCAATCCCGCGAGAACATAATCACACCGAAAGTAGGCCGCGGAGAGAGAAAGCGCGACAACAGCCTCTGAAACGCAGATTTTCACGCCTACGTGCGCAACTTCCTCCCCTGATAGCGAGTCCTTGGGTGTTAGATATGGGATTAACTGCTGCCCTACGGAGGGGTCGAGAGGAGTGCCGTGTCCATGGCACCGACTCGGCACCATGCATTGCGTTTTCGTATTCCTTTGTCCTCGGCAAAAGCAGGTCCTAGGTGCAACGTGGGTTTTTTCGTGAGTACCTCCATTTTCTTCAGGAACTCCTACATACCCGCACGAAACAAAAATATGACCTATATTTTTTAGGTTTTAAAAAATTGATTATAAAGATATTTTTTTTATCTATTTTAAACTTTTTAGTGTAAGACAGTTTATTGAAGTCGGTTTTTTTGTTAATTTTTTTATATTGTGTCTTACCGACAATTACTAGTCTTATCATTATATTTACATGATAGTGTAATGACATATTGTAAAAAAAACGACTAAAAATAGTAGTTTAACAAAACAAAAAAAAACACGCTTTAATTGCAATTCCAATTAAAAATTAGAAAACAATTTTTAAAAAGGAAAATAAATTAATTTATACATATATGTAATTTTAGAAGAATTTATTATAAATATATATACTATTTGTCTAAAACTCTTAAAAACGTCTTTAGAATATCGAGTTTTTTTATAGATTTAGTGCGGCCATATTACCTTGTTTTAAATCAAAATCAACAACTTATCAAAACTCGTTAGAACTTTATTATACGGTATTCTCTCCCTATGGACACAGCTTTGCCTAGAAATCAAGCGGCCCGTGAGAAAAATAAATCAAGTTAGCTTTAATT